GCTAGCATTTGATGTTCCTAGTCCAGTACATTACATGAAAAATACTGATTTGGGGACCTTAACTATTTTTGCTTGTAGGTTAAAACACATTTTTTAAAGATATTATTACCTTTTCTTACCACACACTCTTGCCTCAGCTTTCTGATTATTGGGATAGGAGGCACATCCCCTATCATTTAACTGAATAAAGGTTTTCTATATTAGATGTATATATATATGTATATGAAACATTTTGAAATATGCATATATCTGAGAATGGCTCAACTGAATTAAGTAATGCACTGTCCCACAGATGTTTCTGTGTGTGCTGGGAGCACTTAGAACCTATTTTTAGAGATTTTTCAAAAATTCATGTGTGCTGTGACAAACTAGAGTCACTTTGTTTATTGCATAGCATAGCTCTTGAGCATATTTATCCAAAATAAAATTTTATCCTTTGAACACATTCCCTATATTCCCTAACTCCTTCTGCCATCCCCCAACCCTGGTACCATGCTGTCCTTGTTAGGGTCAGCATTTCAGACTTAACATATATGAGAGATCTGCCTGTGCCTGGTCAGTTTCACTCCCTACCTTGTCTTTTGGTTTTGTTCATGCTGTTGCAAATGTCAGAGTTTCTTCTGTTTAAAGACTGATGACCTTCCAGATTTTATTTATACCTCATTTTCTTTATCCACACATCTGTTGATTGAAACTTAAGTTGATACTGTTTTTGGAGTATTGTGACAAATGCTGCAATGGACATGCACTTGTAGGTGCCTCATCCACACACTGATTTTATTTTATTTTTATAATTTGCACCTGGTATGGGATTGCTGGGTTCCGAAATGGCTGTACTCATTTACACTCCCGCCAATGGCCTACAAAGTTTCCCACTTCCCCGTGTCCTTGGCAGTGCATTATCTCTTGATAATTATATTCTAAGAGCGGTGGCATCATTTCTCAATGTGCTTTTAATTTGTATTTCTCTGGTGATTTTTAAAAGGTGACATTTTTTCATATATCTATTGGTTATTTGTGTGTTATCTCTTGAGGAATCTCCTTTATCTCTTTTGACTATTATTTATTTGGGTTGCTTGTTTTTCTGCTGTTGAGTCGTTTTGAGCTCCATGAATGCTTCATGTATTAACTACTTATAAGATGTGTAGCTTACAGATACTTCCTCCCATCCCAGTTTTTTTGTTACTTCTCTGTGGATTGGTTCTTTTGATGTGCATATCTTTAGCTTGTTGTCATTTCCATTTGTTTCTGTTCCTTTTCCTATCTGTTAGGCCATAAAGTAATCTTATCCTATACCCATGTGCATATGGGCAGCACTAACTGGACTGAGTGGATTATTTTTGGTATAGGGGAAGAAGATAAGGAATTGCGAAGGGAATGTGGAGTAGGTGGTTTGGAAGAAGCTGAGGGATAATGGGAATGACTATATCAAAACACATTGTATAGATTTATGAAATTCTCCAAGAATAGGTAAATAATAAAAAATCATAACTTATTCCAATGCTGGGGAGAGTTTTCTCCTAGTACTTTTACAACTTTAGATCCTACACATAAGACTTTAATCCACTTAGAGTTTCTGTATGCTATGAGATAGGCTCAGTTTCGTTTTCCTGCACATAGATGCCCAATTGCCCAGCATCATATTTTAAAGAAGCAATCTTCTCACAATATGTTTTTTGACATGTTTGCTGAGGATCAATTGACTGTTAAAAGTGTTAGTTTATTTCATGGCTTTTTAGTATATTCCATTGGCGTAAGTGTCTGTTTTTATGCTAGCCCCATGCTGTGTTGATTGCTATAGCTTTATACATCTTGAAGTCAGGGATTCTGGTGTTTCTAGAAGCTTTATTCTTTTTAGTGAAGGATTTTTTGATGTTGCATTATGAATTTTAAGGTTTTTTCCTATTTTTGTGGAAAACAATGTAATAATTTTGATAGGGATTTTATAGTATACTTTGGGAAATATGTGTATTCTAATAGCATGAGTGCTATTAGATGAAAAAATGAAAAATCTGATTTTTCTTCAGTTCCTTCATCAGTATTTTGTGGTTTCATTGAATAAGTCTTTCATACACAAAGATTTATATATATATATATACATATATGTGTGTGTATTCAAATAACATATTTTTAAGATCCCTTATCAATGAAATTGGTTTTATAACTTCTTTTTGAGATAACTTGTTACTAGTATCCAGAAATGATGAAGCAGGACCCCTAACACAATGGACCATAAACATTAGAATTTCCCCAGGAATCATACAGTCAAAGCCCTTGTACAGAGCAGGAGCTTATCTTCCAGGAAGAACGCCCCCCTGCCCCGAGGGCCAGCTGACAGCCCCACTGGCATAAGTGTATCTCTCTCTGGGTTTTATTTCATCTCTTCTGTGAAACTATAGTACCAATACAGCCAAGGCAGAAAGAATCGAGGAGCTGTCCTCCCCAAATACAACAAACTGGAAATAAATTCATCTTTTATGAAGCTTCCTTTCCTAATTTATTTTGAAATATATGGTGGATTTGTGAGCCCATGTGGTGCCTAGTAGCACTTTTCAAATGTGAAAGGAGAGAGGGAAAGCAAAACTAGGATCATTACACTTCACTACACTTTAAAAAACAAACTTAACCAAGTGAATTTTAAAGCCAACTAATAGATTGTCTTAGGAAGGTTTATTTTTGTTTTATTTTTTTCATATGGTCTAAAGTTCAAAACCATTTTTAGACCAAATATATTATATCTATACATAATTACCATTAAAATAAAGTCCTGTGAGAACATTATATATTCTTAATGGAACCAATGCTAGAGTCTGGATTCATGGTTAGATAACAGAGGGCATGTTTTACCATTCCTAGTGATTAGTAAACATGTAGAATAGCTTTTCTACATATTTTTATCAGGAAACTGCTGAGACAAGCCCTTTCCCTTTATAGCCAGAGGAGCCATTCTTGACAGCCAGCGGGCCACTAAAATATTGGTGCATCCCAAAAGCCAATGACATACTAGCTTGTGGACTGTTTACTGCTGTTTTCCTTTTCAATCTAGTCTGAAATGCAGTGTGCTTGGCCTCTATGTGGTCCGGTGAAGAAGAAAAATGAGGATTGAATAACATTTGACAGGAATGTACCACGTATAATGTCAGTCTCTTGACACAGTTCAAGTGAGGTCAGTTCGAAAGGGAAGGGGTAAACAGTCATGAATCTGCTCACACAGAGTGTTTCAACCTTCCTCAGTCATGTTGTATCATAGACACAACCAAGCAGCGTTTTTGCTGAGGAATATACAGATTCAGGCTTTTCTATCCCCTCTCCCAGCTTCACTCTGGTGTGCCAGGAGTATGGATGAGATATGAGAAAGGTAGGTTTGATGATGATGATCTCTGACTGCAAGCCGTGTTTGTCAAGGAAAGGCAGGTCTACCGCCTGAGCTGTGTAGAAAGAATACAGACCTATACCAAGGCTGACTTCGCAATTTCTGTAGAATCTGTTATTTGGCAATATATGTTTCCTTTCTCCTTCCATATGTCAAAAGGTTAAGTCTCACCTTGGTGACGCCATTAATCGTCTGTCAAAGCTCAAAACTGATGGCAATTGAGAAAGCCAAAGGGTATTTTGGTGGAAACACCCTTTCTCAGGGTTCTAAGTGCCATATTTACACCTTTAATGATTAAAATGAACACCCTGGCATGGTAGTACCGGCCTACAATCCTAAAGCTGGGGCGAAAAGACAAGACAGCGCATGAACTGTAGACCAACCAGTCTTGGATATAGAGTGAGAGACCTTGTTTCAAAAATAAGTAAGAAAAATAAAAGCAATGCATTGCAGTCCGGATACTGATACATTGTGTCCCTTGATTTAGGTAATTTAAAGTGTGGCTTATGAATCCTTAATTCTATTGCACTGTATGAGAGAGTCCTACATTTCTGACAGTTGTTTCAAAGTTTAATTGGAAGTACCACTCTTGCTTCCAATGGATAAATCCCAGCTTTAGGATCTTTATTTCCTTGACTACTTTCTTTTGAGGGGGGCGAGTAAATTTTTATGATGCCATTTCTTTTATGGTATCTTAATGTCGTCAGAGCCACTGATTTATGAAATATATGCAAGTTAAAATGGGATGGCATTTAACTTACTTAGTCCTAAAGTCACAAGATGAAGAATCTTCATTAATGTTATTGGAGAACGTAAACAGAGTTATAGTGCCTAGGTTGCATATGCACCCTGTACTTGTCGTAACAGTCTTTCTGATTTATAAAATCCATCATTGTTTTATATAAGGGATGGCTGAGTTAGTTCTATTAAGTCATCATTCCACAAATGAGCCACAACAAATTTTAAAATGGGCACTGACTGCAAAGATCACATTCTTGCTGCTATGCCAGCCTATACCATTCTACTCTCTCAGAAGTAATATTGATGGCAGACATAAAAAAGAATTAGTTGAGTTCGTGGACCATTGCTAATAAAAACCAAGAATATTATCCCATTTTCAAAATAGGCTCCCCTGTCCTCTCAGTAATGGGACTACCAATTCTGGCATTCAGTATGCCACCGAGAAAACATGGAAAGACAGATAAAAGGTGTTGGAGAAAATATAAATATGCTTTATATCTGAGAACCTGGTGACTTATAAAGGAAGTAAAAGGAAGGTATTTGATTTTATTTCTGTTTAATGGAAAAAGAGGTTGGAAGTTCTGGCTAAGGGGTAAGTAGACAATATTTACATGGTGATAATGACCAAATAAAACAAAAAAAAATTAGGAGTTAGGAGTTGAGAGTTACTTCTCCATCTCTCTGGTCATTGCACCCTTCATAGAATGAGAATGTTCATTTTTGGCTTTCAAGCTAGAGTTGTCATGCAAGAAGAATACGCTAATTTCATTTTTTCTCATCTCTTTTCTTTTGGGGATAAGCACTGGGGTTTTCTGCTGTTTATTATTTCAAAGGCATCTATATGCTAATATGCTTTATGCTAATTATTTTCATGTTTGCCCCCCAGGTTATGCTTCACATCACCCACCAGGGAGGATCATCTCTCATGAAAACTTTCAAATTTGATTTTGAAAATTTATTCAGAAAAATTTAAACCAAACTTTTTTTCCCAACACGAGAAATAATATGCTCCAGAGGACCTTCTAATTCACATAAAATGGACCTGGATGACATTTGGGTCCTCATACTACCACAGTTCTCTTGAGGACAGCCAGGTACCCAAAGCATTTAGCATTCTGACATTGAAGTGTTGGAAGGATGATTAAAATAAAAATCTAATAATGTGCTTCAAGGAATCTCTGGATTACTCTGTGTGGTCCAGGAAGGTGGACAGGACTGGGATGTGTTACTGCTTCTCTTGCTGTAATACCATGTGGCATTATTTCTAAACAGTTAATTGTGACAGTGTTGATGCCCGCAGCTGAGTCTGTGCACACAGGAAGAACTAGGTAAAGAAAAAAAAAACCTTATGTAGCTTGATGTTTCTTCCAACACTTTCATGATGGAGATTTTTCTCTACGAAAGTGTCATTTGTTTTTAGAGAAAATTGCTATTTGAAAAAATTAAATTAACCAATTAGCCTGTCTTTAAAACATTTTTCGGGGCATTCCTCTTCTGAAGATAAATAGGCTTGATATGTAATTCTTTGACAGAATGTATTAAACGTAGACAATTTGGGATAGTGCTTTATAGTCTTTCTTGGTAGGAAATTGGTCTCCTTTTGTTTCAAGCACTTTGGGAGTGCCAGAACATCCTATTACACTCTCCATATTATTCTTAGTCCCACTCTGCACTGGAGACAGGCAATGAACCTGAGATACTGCAGGGGGGCGGGAGCCATCCTGCAGGTTTATGCTCATTCTGTGATCAGACTCTTCCTGTTCCTCTTTGCACCTTTAAGCAAGGTGGGCCTGCATGCCTTTCTATATTATAAATATTTCCGCTATTAGTTCTCACAGGTAATGCGGGTAACGTCACTTCGTCCAGCTGTTGGAATATTTCCTACTGACTGGCTCTTTTTTTTTTTTTTTTTTTTTTGGTTTTTATGAGACAGGGTGTATTGTTTTGGAGGTCCAGCCTGGCCTCGAACTCATAGAGATCTGCCTGCCTCTGCCTCCTGAGTGCTGGGATTAAAGGCGTGCGCCACCACCGCCCTGCTCTGACTGGCTCATTTTAATAGTCCTTGAGTTCCCAGACACCTTTGTCAGTAGGAAAGTATCTTTTCAGGCTTAGTGGGGGGGGAGAATTCCTTTCTGTAAAGGGACCTTAAGGAAGCTCTCTTCAAATAGAGGGAGTTTGGAGAGAGGAAGCCAACAAAAGGCAGGTGAAGAGAGCCTCATGAACAGGTGTACCACACAGCCAGGCACTATTGGGACATTTTTAGTCATAATTTTTATAAGCAAGATGGACCATTGCTGGGGCTACGTTAGTAAATCAGCTAAAACAAATGTTTGTCCAGCAATGATAAAACAGTGTTTTGTTGAAATCTAGCAATGTATGGTGCATTTTGCTGCAATCAAAGACCTGCATTATTTTATGTGCAAAACTCCAGTGACCAATCATTATTGTCATTTCATTCTACCTACTTACCTGTGATAATAACAAAATAGCCGCACATTTCCCCTTGAAAGTTATGTCTCAAGAATGATTTATTGAATGTTAGCCCCGATGCAGCTCCAGTTAAGAAGTACTTTCTCGTCATCTCCTTGACTTTTCTCAGTGAATAATTTAAAGATAACCCAAGTAAGAACCACAGTCCGTTGGTCATTAGGTACCAGAATTTATCAGGTGCTTTGAAACCACGAACCACACAGCCTGATTGACAAGGTTAATGTGGGTGTGTTGTGTATTGTGTGTGCTGAGTTCCACAAGGACAGAAAACATCTAGAGCTACACAGTTGGTTACAATTGCTTGAGTTGAGGTAAACTTTCAGAAGCCCTGGCCTTCACTAGCCCAGAGAAGTAAAGTTGTCTCAGCAAGACCCTGTCCCTGGGTGCACAATGTGCTCTATGACTGGCCTGCCTGGCTCTACCCTGCCTCTGGAACATGGCTCACAGCTTAGACCTTTGGAAGAAATAAACAAGTCTTGGTCCGAGTCCCAGTTTTAATAGAAACACAGTTTCAAATCTAGACAAATATCCTGGCCTCCCTCAGCCCCATCCTCAAGTTTAATTTACTTAAATTGTCTGTGAGAACTGAATAGGAATAGGAAGATGCATTTTTTTAATGCTCCACAAAGTAAGTGCTCGACTAAGGGACACTGAGATTGAATATTGTCTTCTATTATCATTGCTATTTTAATATGAACATTCTTGCTATTTTTGATATTAATGATATTCACAGGTAAAATAATTGAATGTTTTTCTGAATAACACAAACAGTGCAAAGAGAAGGCTACTAAACACCTTTCACAAGAAAAACAATAAAAACAAAAATGTAGGAAACTTCATATGTTAAAGGTTATTTAGTGTAGGCCTATATTACAAAGGTCTTGTACGACCTATAACCTTAATTCATTTATAAAACTTTTAAGATATCATGTAAGGTGGAAATTTAAAATTTCACCAAATTTTGTTGATTATTTCTAACCAATACCAAATATTCAGGTACTCCTGAAAGAAAGGTACTTATGAGCAAGAACTTCTACCCTTGCTGCCAAGAATCCAGATGTCCAACTAATGAGCTTGCTTCTTTGTTAAGGGTACTAGACATTATGTAAAGCCTCCTCATGTTTGGCTTCCTTCATTGCTGGTTGTGATGGTCTGTGCATAACAGGGCTGTAGAACTGATCAGCATGAAGAGTGTCCAAAGGAAAAGACAGCTTGCTGGTTGCAAGGCTCTAGTGAGCTGCCAAGATACCCCCACAGGTCCTCAACATCTTAGCAAAGCATGCAGACAGGTCTCAGGGCCATTAAAAAGTTTAGCTCTGCTTCTAAACAGGAGTAAACAGACTTGTGTTTGCTTCCCCACACAAAGAGAAGTCAGATGTTAATTAAAACTTTGCAGAACTGGAAAGGATCGTGGCATTCTGTACTGAAAAGTCAGCTTTAACTTCTAATTGGATGCCAACAAAAAAAGAAGAGAGGCAGAGAAAGAAAAAAAGACCCACAAATAAGTTTGGTAACAAAGGTTTTTTTTTTTATTCTACACCAATCTCATTAAAGGGAGGAATCTTCATTTTTCCTTTGTTTTGGGGAAGACTTTAATGACAGTAGAATCTTTAGTAGCATACTATTTTCAATGGATATTCCTATCCTTTGTTTAATTCCATTCTCTCCCATGGGCTTCCTGCTTCCCCACAACCACCATCAAGAGATATGCTAGCAGAAAGCTGATGCTCGCCTGCTGTTGTACTTCCTGGCATTTCATCTTAACCGTTTTCCCGGAGTGAAGTGCAGCATCACACAGGTTTCCCTGAGCTTAGCATATAGTAGAGGTGATCTAAATAGCAATTAAAAGAAAATGGCCACAGTAGTGTTACACTGATGCATTCTGGTACTGCCCTTCCATTTTGTCTGCCTGCTGAGGGAAGATCAAGTCATTTCTCTTCAAATGGGCAAGATGTGGAATTTTTCACAGCCACAAACCAGAGAACAAAGTAGGAAAGGTTTTCCTTTGTAGAATTGCCTTTCTCTTATCTGCTGGTCTTGTCTCCCAGACTGTCTGTCTGTCTCTAGAAAGCAAAGTCAATAAAAATGATCAGAGTTGGCATCTCACAAATGCACACCCTTAAAGCACGAAGCAGTGCTGCGCAGGAAATATTTTTCTGACCTTTTCAAATTGCATCCAACTGTCTTGGGAATTTCTCAGGGACTCAAGGTAATAAGGTTCAATCCGTTTTACCGTCTACCTTCAAATTTAGTTCCTCCCGAGCTGGAATGTATCTATTCCTTGCATCCTGGCTCTGCCATCCAGTCAATACAGAAATCCATGCATCTAATCTTTTTTCACCCCATCTCAGTTTTTTTTTCTTTTACCATGATATGGAATCTACAACCATGTCAGCTTTTCACTTACTGCCCCCTTCAAAAACCAAATGTTAGCCTGAGACGAATTTGATTTTGTGGTCCTTTGAGAAGCCCTTGTTGAATTTAATTACCTTTTAAATTTCATTCCCTCTTAAATCTCAGGTCTTTACTTGTGTGATTTGTTGCCTCAGTGGGCTTTATAAAAAACTTTTTCAACTTAACTACACTGCAGGCACTCTGTAAAAAAATACAAAAGAGGCAAAAATATGGGAGTTTCTTTTGTTCTGAATGGATTTTTGCCTTTCTTCTGTGAGTTCAAATGGAATGGACAAACTCTCTGGTAAGGAAGGGAATTATCCAAGTGTGACATGTTAAAAGTCAACTGAGTGGCCCCATTCTTCACTGTTCTCCTTGAAGGAGAGCAGAAAACAGAAGTTTGGGACACATTTCTTTGACCTCTTGAGAGCTCCTGGTGTCAAGAAGACTTGACAAGATGTTAAAGAGCTTCTGAGACTTTCATAGTTACGACATCACATACTGAATATGATTCTGGTGTTGTAGGACATTCCAGATCCAACAGCTGTTCAGTCATCCAATCTCTTGTCCCTGTGGTGCTTTCTGTCGACAGTAGACCCTTGGCTGGAATGCCACATGGTCTGTGGATCTCTGGGATCACCTTCTTCTGACTTTGGAGATGAGTTCATGGACAAACAGCTACCAGGAGAACGACACTTATAGACAGCCATCAGGAGGATGATACCTTTCTCAAATTGCTCATCTTAGAGTCTCGTCTTTCTTGTATAGTAGATTATTGAATTTGGTCACATAAGATCTATGGTGTTATAAAGCTGTGATGGTTCCAGACAATCCTATTTAGAAAGTAGGCAGTGGGTTTTGTCTTCAAAAACTAGACAACATATACTTATACCAAAGTTTATCATCTGTAATATAGCTTTCGCTTCCATTTAAAACAGTGCCTATTTTTTTTTTGTAAAATACAAAATGTTATCTTCAGAGTACAAGCTGCTGTATTGTTATCTGGAACTTAATCCATTTTATTAGTGGAGTTCACTTCTGATGTCCTTTGATGACCTGGAGATGGTTAGCTGGCATTTCAGTAAAGATGAAGTAAAGAAGTGAGATGACACCTTTTTGAAATTCATATTTGCCCACTGAATGAAATAAGATGGTTTCATGTGTAATTAAAGTGGGTTGATTTCTGCATGGGAGCTGCAGTGCTCCTGAAGAGTTGTGAGAGTAGGTGTACATGTCTCTGTGTCTATTTGTGTGTGCAGCCATGTGGGAGGCATACACACTGCCCTAAATTTGGGAATGGAAGGCAGCAACTACACAGCCAAGAGAAGTCTTTTTTTGCCCCATGGATGCCTTTTCTTTCTTCATTGGAAACTTGGCTGTGCCTTGTCTATGAGAACACAAAGCATATATCATTGTACTTAGTGGTGCCTCTGTCTCATTCTTGAGACACTTTTTTTTCTGTCTTCAGGACTCGTTAATAAAATGAAGTCACATGTAGACTTGCCACTGAAATAGTGAAGTGTTTGCAATCTATTAGAGTTAAAGCAGGGTGAATCAACACCACTGGTTTGTACTGTGTTCCTCTACTTTTCTGGGTGTTCTTAGGAACACTGGAAAATGAAAGGAACTTTTAGATGGACAGGCACATGGGGGTAAAGAAGCCTAAATAACAATGTCAAGGACAATGCTAGCTGTTTCTTAAAAGATCACTGTCAGGTGTTTCACAGACAATAAGACAGGGACAACAGTCCCATACAGAGGGAAGGAAATGAGTCTTAGAGTATGTGCAGCTGGATTTGTTTGGAAGGGTCAGAAGAAGGATTCAGAGAGGATTATCTTTATGTGAGAAAGAACAAAAGTCACACAGCTAGTTTTAAGTGGTACTTTGATTTTTCCTGATTCTTTCCCTCCTTCCTACCTCTTTCTCTTTCTTTCTTTCTTTCTTCTTCTCTCCTCTATCTTTTTCTTATTTCTTGTTCTCAGTTTTCTTTTTCCAAAGGGAGAAGAGACTAAGGGCAGATGCTGAAGCATCATTTTGACTTTTTTAGCTTTTTAAAAATGGGGCTTCCATGCTTGTTCTGACAGAGAATTGCATTCAGTAAAGCTAGTAACTTTAATGGTGTCCAAGAGTTCTGAAGCAAGAATGTGCTCAGGGGTTATCTATCTATCTATCTATCTGTCTGTCTGTCTGTCTGTCTATCTATCTGTCATCTATTGTGAACAACCTGTTTCTATTTGAATTATTTGAATAATGTTTGTCTATCAGGATACCTAGGAATATTACATTCCTTTAATTATACAGCTGAAATTTTGTTTTCTATTTGCCTCCAACATCTCTGTAACAAAACAAACACTCTTGATTGCCAGAGCAGGCTTATTACTGTGCTGTCTGCTCAATGGCAACATCTACACTCAGGGATTAAATTTTTCTCTTATGGCAATGCCTAATATGCTTCACGATGTGGCTCAGAGACAGGGCTCCATTATTTATCAGGGTAAACTGGGGTTCTTTAGGTTACCAAGGCATCACTCAGGCTCGTAAGCCAGGGTGGGCATCTGCCCAGCACATCGTGTGTTCCCAGGCATATCAGATGGGAAACTGATTCAAATTTAATCAGAGTGGTAGGATCTTGAAGGCTGTCACCAACATTCTTCCTAAATGGAGTACTTGGAAAATCTGATCACCATTTCACTGGAAAAAACACACCCCTTTAAAAAAAGTGCCAGACAGATCTACAGAGAAAGAGCCAGCATGATTTTAAATGCAAATATAATTTCAAAGTGTCTCTCTCTCCCTTGCTCCCTCTTTCTCTCTTCCCTTGGGTCTGAGGTCTCTTAAATATGTATGCAGTCTCGGTCCAGGGTTCATGGAAGATTTTGCCCTTTGTACAAGATCCCCATTGATTGCCACTATCAACCTTCTTGGAAATGCACTCAAAATAATATGAGCAAACAAGAATAAATCACTCTCAAACTGCCTGTCATACCCAGCTCTTCTTCAGTACTTGGCTTCTGACAGCATGGCTCAGTCTGTGCTTTCGGGGTGATGCACCTACCCATATGCTGTGATCTGCTAGGAATCTCCTCTTGCTGTCAGGCTGCAGCAGTATTTATTTTGCCTTAATTGGAACCCCACTGTCACCCTATGGGATTCTCCCCCTTGGCAAGGCAACATATCCCTATACACCTAGAGCACTATTGCCATGGTAGGTTGTAATATTATATTCAATAATAGTAACATTGGAATCAAAATTTAACTGGAATCTAGGTTAATGGAGTTTCTTGGTTTTTCTATTTTTGTTTTGGTGTTGATAGTATTAGGAACTCCAGTTTTTTTCTTAATGTTACCTTTGAGGTTGAAACAGCACAGTGGAAGCCCAAAGCTGATCAGTTTTTGAGAGTTTCCTCTGCATTGGCTTGGGGCAGGGTGAAACATGAGAATGTCAGCATTTAAACCAGTAAGCAATAAGCACAAATGACATGGTGTTCCATGTAGAAATAGCACCCTTATATTTATTTATTTCCCCTCACCCTTTCTATATGATCCAGCATGACATGATGTCTGCAGTTCCTTACTTTTGTTAAAAATAAATTAGTTAAAATTTACAAGTCGGTCCTGTTGATTTTAACTTTGGGTGGCAAAACAAAGTTTATTACCTTGGCCTCTATGGACAGCTCATTGTGTGTTTTTGTTTTCAGCATCTGCTTGTCTTTTGTGCTAATTTTATTTTCATCATTAGAGTTCATGAAGACTTAATTATTAACCCTCTAATTTTCCAAGAAAAAATGTTGATTTATTGAACGAACTGCAGCAAAAGAAGATCAATCTGACAGTATAGGTTAATAGTAAGGAACAAAACGCATTCATAATTAGGAGAGAAAGGATTTTTCTTGTTCCTCCCAGTTTATAATAAAAAGCCCCTTGCCAAAGTGTCTTGAAAATAATGCATTCAGACTGAGTCGAATTACCGCCTAGCACATTCTATTTATCTGCAGCTTAAAAAGCAGCTGCGGTTTTTGTAAGAAGCGATGAATGTGGCATTCCTACTTAAAGGTAGAAGAAAAAGAACACCCCTTGTTTTGTAATAAGGGGATTTTCAATTTAAAAGAGAGAGAGAGCCTGTTGTGTGAAGTAGGGTTATTACAGCCACTGTATTCTATCTCACCCACCAGGAGGCTAATAATGAAGGGGCCAGGGAAGGAGGCCAATGCTACAAGGGTTATCTCACAACCTCAGATGGTGGATAAGTCGAAGGAGGCAGAATCACTTCTGGATGACATTCAGAGTGATTATTTGTAAGAGAAAACCCTGCTTATTCTTTCAAAGGTAAGCAGTTCATTTCATCTATCAGTTGCATGTTTCAGTACAAAAATATGTATATATAAAAATATGTATCTATAAAGTCTTTCTTTAATAAACATTCTCTTTTTAGGTACATGAATATTGTTGAAACCTGCCCTTCTAGCGGTCCATCCTTAGATTCCTGCCGTAGACAAAGGATGCACTTGGAGCCCTACCTCACCTAAAGCCACAGTTGAAGGATCTGCCAAGCTCACTTTTAATCATGAGAAAGAAATTACCCACATGGAGACAGCAGAAAATGAGAAAGTAGAGCTCGTGCTGCGAATAATTCCAGCGAGTGCCAAGGGGCTAGTTGAGGAATGGCTTCATGAGGTGAATATCTTTAGCTTGTACTTAGGGTTTGGTTAGCGTATAATCATTTTCTCTTTTAGGAGTGAATACTATCCTAAGTGTATTTCCATCCAAGCAATGCTCTGGGCATTTGTGAGGATGTTGACAGATTTAATATCGGCCTCACCCTTGCTGTTTTGTATGATGACTAATTTTACATTTATAAATTTGCAGAGATCAATCTAGGTGGAAAGGCTCCCTGAGCCTATGTCTGTCACCAGCTGTGTGTCTTCATGTGCAGTGCTGTACTGTGTGGCATGTCCAGTAATTTATGTCTGTGTGTGTGTGTGTGCGTGCGCGCGTGTGTGTGTGTGTGTGTGTGTATGTTCTCATTGTTGTCTTTGCTCTGTTGTGAATCTTCATTGGGAGAATTAACCAAATGATAGGTGCCCAAAAGATGGGATCCAAGACTTTCATTTAAGTCTTGGAACAGGCAAAAACCAAAATGTATCACATCATTTTCAATTCGTTCCAAGAGAGGGAGGGTGCCAATTGGGTACAAGTCATCACGTAACGAAACAACCAGGATTCAAATTGCACTTCACTTTTAGGATCAAATTAGTATGAAACTCCCTTCTTCTTTATGATAATTTTTTAACCCCTTGATGTTTATTTGTTTAAAACAAACAAACAAAAAGACCCTGACTTCATCCCCAGTACACTGTAGCTCTTCTTTGTTTCATTTTTCTAAAGATCAGATCCAAGAAAAATAATAGTTTGCTATTTCAAGACTGTCATTACTCACATGATTTTCCCCCAAACATGTCATGTCTTTGTGGGCCAAATTAATGTTTCATCAAGTCAGTAAACAAATAAGTGATAATGTTTTTTCTTCTTTAAGACTAATTTTGCCAGGGAATAGGGACAGGGACAGTCAAGGGTCTTTGTGAGTCATGGAAAAAGAATGCTGCCACCCACCCCCCATTGGTCTGTCTTTGATTTCCCACACAACCAAGTCACAGGATTGCCATGCCAACCTTAAGCAATTTTGGCTCCCAACAATCCTGTGCCTTGGAGTCTTTCAAACTACCCTTCAATTCTGGTCAAAGGGCCAAGGCAAACACTTGTAGAAAGAATGCATTATCTGAGAAAATGCCAGGGTGCTTTCCCATTGGTATATGTGTTTGGTGCCACAGTTAAGCATCACTGGGGTCCAATATATGGGCTATCACCCTTATGGAGTGTGGGGGCTCCTGATGAAAGGGAAAGCATTGAAGTAGCTAAGAAAAGGGGTCATTCTTCCATGTGATTTCAGACAGAGCAAGGCAGGGCTCTTGGGTATCTTCTGATGGATGAAGAGACTTAATAAAGAAGGTGAGCCAGCTGGGGGTAGTTTGTCTTGGAGAGGGGAGTCACGTGGGAATGGAGCCAGGCAGAGGAGACAGCCAGCTGGGAAAGGAGGTAGAGGCAAAGCAGAGAGGTAATGGTGGAGGCAGGTGAGCAGCTGTGTTTATTTTAATACATGCCATTTAACCCTCACCTAAAAACAAATTGCAGAGGTTTGGGAGTGCATTAATCTGGACCCAATTAGCATGTCTTTCTCCTTGGAAAAGTGCAACCTGAGATTAATGAACATCAACCAGAGTTTGAGATGCAGCCCTTAAATCATTTGCATGTTCGTGCATGATAATTGAAGTTACATATGCACTTCCTTTCATTTAACTATTTCCAGTCTCCTCTTGATTCATATAAACCAAAACCTCATTATAGTGATTTGTAGGTAGAAATAGCTTTCCTAGCACTTTACCCCTTAGGGGGAAAAACTCAAGTGGTTGGGGTTTTGTGCATTCGAATTTGAACAGCACATTCTTTATTTTAAATGCAGAGGGTAGTTGATAATAGGGTGGAATGCTGCTGCTTCTGGAGTTGGTAAATAGGCACTGCAGATATAGTTTTGAAAGGCTAGAAAAATGTGGAAAATCCCAACATCAAGCTTTCAGCCATGTGTAAGTGTTTTTATAACGCTAGGAACAAGGCCACTTAAATGTAACCTGAGAAATGTTCTTGGAGTTTGGACCTGTGTTACTTAGGTCACAGAGCAACTTCAGCACCCATCATTGCTTCTGGCTTAGTTAGAAACTTGTTTCCATAGAAAGGGGTGGGGATGCCCTCTACTTCTGTGAAGGACTGCAGATAGGCAGGCAGTATGTGTGGACCCTTGAAGCTATGGATTTGAACCTTTTTCCCTTTCTTCCTTTCTTCCTTCCTCCCTTCCTCCTTCCATTCTTTCTTCCTTCCTCCCTCCTTCCCTTCTTTCCTTCCTTCATTCCTTCCTTCCTTCCTCCATCCCTCCCTCCCTCCCTTTTTTCCTCCCTCCCTTCCTTCGTTCCTTTTCTCCCTCCCTCCTCCCTCCCACCTTCCTTCTTCCCTCCTTCCTTCCCTCCCTTCCCCAATCCCTCCCTTCCCCCATCTCTTTTCTTTTTTATTATTTGGGTATAGATAGTTAAATTATACCATAGCACACACAGGTCTTAAGAGTCTTCCTTTCCACGTGGTACATGAACTATCTGAACACAGACAGTGAGTGTGTAAGAAATCATCCTGTGGAAGAAAGTAGAAGCAGGAGGCTTGAAATAATTCTCCCGGCTTCAGTTTGTACAGTGATTTGTCTGTCTTCTGTCTCTCCTTATGTGTTTCTAAGTTCAATGTCCAAGTGACGAGCTTTTCTCCAGGAATTCTCTCCAGTGTCCTTTGTTTTTGATTATCTTCTATGGTTGAATGTTACTGAGTGTCTTCTGGTCTTGTTTCTGGTCCTTGTAGCTAAGAATGTCATTGAAGGATAAAATCTTGTTAATTTGTGATGTTACAATTTGAGTGTGCTTTGTGTCACTTACATGTAGCTTAAAATGTTCTCTAATGTACCATGAAATGATTGGTTAGCTTGGAAATGGTTGTGAAGTCGTGTGAAGAAAATAAGTTTTACATCCGACCAAGAGAAATTCACTCTAGTGCTTTATGGCTTTTTATTCCTATGTGATCGTAATAAAGTCTCATGTAGGGATGGAAGCCATGAAATACATTGTGAAAATTCATCAACTAAGAAGGGGCCGTCAGTATAGAGAACTGTAGCCTGTGGAACGTGCTGGAGACATGAGCTAGTGGACAGCTCTGCTACCCTTTTGGTGTTTCTTGAGTGTCTTAATCCTTAGGTATTGGCAGCTAAGGAACGGAGGTTGCAAGAGTTTTTTTCATCTTCCTGACCACCGATTAACATGCACATTCGACTTTGCGCATTTCTGTCTATCATACATTTTCTCCTCCGTTTTTCTACTAACAAACATGCTCTGCAAAAAAGCGAATAGCCCACCTACTTGTAGCCAGTGTTCAAACCTTCTGTGACTTTTTCTCCCGACAACTTTTGAGGTCTTTCTTCTGAAAAAAGAAGAAATAGACAAACCAGATTTGTCCTCTTGGAAATGTGGTCCAGATTTCTCTACTCCCAATCTCCAAAACAAGGTATACCTCGAGTGGGCTAGCTCCATACCTAGATCCAAAATCCTATAAAAACTGTCTTCCCTTTACAAGTGTGGTGTAGTGGAGGGGCCTTTGAAGCTGTGGAGAGGGGTTGGGTTCTGATAACCACCAAGTCAGCTGTGTGACTGGGGCATGTGAATTAAACCATGGGACTCTTCCCTTATCTTTATAATGGGGGTCGGGTGGTACCAGCATTGTTGTAAGGATTTAATGAAGTGACAGATGTAAGCATTGCCTAATGAAGTGTTTATTTGACCGTGACTCTGTTTTAAAAAGCTCATGAAATATTAGTTTTCTCCCTTCCTCCCTCCTCCTTTTCCTTTCTCTCTCCCCACCCCATACCCCTTCCTTCTTCAGATGTTAGTCTATCTAGAACAACACCTGAGGATCTAAGCCGGACCTTTGAGAAGGAAATGACTTCAAGGAAAGACTCCTTTCCATATGATTTATTTTTTTAGCCTCAATTGTTTAAAATGTACTGTAAAACTATATTCATCTTTTCTGCTCTCTGTGTACTTATTTTTGCTTGAACTGTTTTGACCGTTGAACTATATATTCACTATGGATTTTTAAAAGAGAATTCTAATAAAACTTTATTTGTACTATTATTTTTTGTCTCTTGGTTTCCTCCATATAATGATATAGGGACCTGTGTTTTTATAAGTCTCTGACTGCTGTTAAGAGGCGAAAAAACACTGCTTCTTAATAGATACTCACTGAGGGTGCCTTGAAAACTGCTTCCCTTTTTCCTCATAGCCTCTTACCTTCAGTGTGGGGGGAAATTGCCAGGGTAATTGTAACTCTGATGATCATTTATCTAGTGATTTAGAATAACTAAAAATTAGAATTTGAAAGACACTAAAGTCTGTAGAACACTTGTGTGTAAGGAAAAGAACTTTGAAGAGCACACAATGAAACTTTTAAAAATTCCACAGTAGTGGAAGTGTATTGCTATCAAAACAGAAAATGGTGAAAACCTTAGCTACTCCATTTGCATCACGGTGGCTTCTAATATCATTGTGGTTTCCCTTTAGATATCATTACCGCCCTTACCTCAGTTCCTGTTTAATGACCTGGATATTTATGAGGTATCCAAACATTTGTAAACCAGTGAATAGAAAAAGAAGTAATGAGAAAGAGAGAAGGAGGAAGAGAGTGAGATTTATAGGGGGATTAAAAGAGATACAGACTAGGTCACATGAGAAACATGTTTTGTTTAAGGAAGGGAGGAAAAACATATACACAGGTAAATATTGGTTTGCAATATTGAAGAGAACTTAAGAGTAATAGACAACTCAGGATAAATGTCACAGACAAACTTAGTATTAGGCTCAACACAAGGAAAATTCCTTAAAACTGAGGGGGAAAATCTATGTTAGAGGCTAGAACAACAAGCCAAATTTCCATAGCTCAGAGTCAAAGATTTGAAATTCATTTGTCAAGAAATTTATGAAAAGGTTTTACAAATGACTCTTGGAAATACTGTCAACATGCAAAATATTCTACTCTAAAACAGAGATTTACTTGTAAAACTCTTCACAAGTATCGTTGGAAGCAGAGAACGTATTTGAATGGATGCTGTTGGATTAATTAATCACTACCGAGTCTCAGTGGGCTGCAATTAGCTATTACCCTGCGTGATAGGCTGAGTCTCAGCTGTCAGAGTACCCATGAGTTCAAGGGCAGTCATGTATTTGCATGTGTACACACACACACAGACACACACACACACACAGACACACACACACACCATTCCTTTTATGTGACTGCATCTAAACTCTAATACTTGGAGGAGTGAAGACAGTTTGTGAGAAAGTGACTGTCTTTTAGGAGAGCTCCTCAGTGGACATTGGCCAGTTGTGATTACAGTCTAGCAATATATCCCAGAGGATACTCCTATGTAAGAGGTCCAAAGAGCAGAAGGCTGTAAAGAGAAGCAATCTCATTTAGTAATGAGTGGATAAGCTTTTCCATCTTGCCAGGGTCTCAATAGCAGCAGGAAACACATCATGTACCAGGAAAGCATGAGTAATTTACATGTCCCTGAGTGAGATGATTCTGTTCATCAGAAACTTTACAAACTACTTCATGATGTTTAATGGAAGGTAGTATCTATGGATACTGTGTTTGGGCAGCTTAAGAAAATCCACATTGTCCAATATGTTAAAATCCCAAAAGGGGGACATTGGTTTGTGGGTCTCCTAAGAAAATGAAATAAAGAGTTCAGAATTCTCTTCTCCTTTGATTGGTATAGTAAACTCTCACTCCATCCTTCACATAGCAGAAAAGAGCCTCATCTCTCTCTCTCTCTCTCTCTCTCTCTCTCTCTCTCTCTCTCTCTCTCTCTCTACACACACACACACACATGAACATACACAATCACATGCACACACACATACACACACACACACACATACAGCCTTACTCTCCACTATCTTTTTTTAAAATTGCCTACATTTCCTTCCGATGCATGACAGAGGAGGACCCTGCTTCTCCAGATGGAGATGGAGATCCCCACGGGAGATGGAGGACCCAGAAATTCTGTGTGTAACAATTCACATCAACTTTGAGCATGAAATCCAGGTTTTCCATCTCAAAACCAAAGCTTAGAATCCAGAGAAGCTTATCACAGGAAGTACAAGTTACACTATCACTGGAGTGAAAATGCTGATGGGCACAGCGTGGGGTAGTCCAGGCATAGGTAAGGATGGTAATGGCCTGGCCTTCCAACCTTGTCTTTAACCCCTAGTCCTTTTCAGAAAGAATGCAGAGTTGATTTTAGGTGACATTCATTGTTTTCTCCCATCAGTTTTCTTCCTGTTTTTATGACTGAGCAATACCAAATGCTTTTAGATGAGACATGTGAATTACACTGGAGTGTTTTTCAGTAGAGTAAAACCAGCAGTTTGTTTGTAGTCTAAAATTAGTTTTCACAATGAAAATTTAGTTGGTGACATAACTACTTGCTTGAACGCCAAGTGCTTGTAGTCACCCATAGACGCATGTGGCCTATAGTCAAGTCACTTTCTGAATTTGTCCTCCACATTCCCCTAGCTCATCTACTCCTCTTTCTTTAATTTGGAAATATACCAAATTTGCTTCTACTTCAGAGCCTTCGAGGGTGCTGTTTCCTATCGAGATTACTTTTCTGGTGCACTTACCCATGTGGCTCTCTCACTGCCTCAGGACTCTGTGATACAATTTCTGAGATAAAAAATTTCAGAAATCTCTCATCAGTGACATTTCCCCTGATTGTCTTTTATAAAATTGTGTCTCCCCTCCTCTGGAGGGGCCAGCAGTGAATCTGTTTCTGTTCATTGTTCATCCATAAATCCTAGAATCCTATCCACATCAAGTAGACAATTAACTTTTGTTGAAGTTACTATTTATTTGAAACTTCCTAGCATCCAATACTCTAGATACTGTCATTATTTAGTACAACAATGAAATATTTACAGTTCTCAATGCACGGATTAGACATGTATCCTATCACACATACAACTTTGCTTTCTTTTTTTTTCAACTTAAGAAAAATGCTCCAATATATTTTTGCCTATTAGCTTTTATCCATTTTGTTCTTGGAAAAAATTCCAAATCAGAAGTTAACAGGTAGGTGACATAGGCCTGTAATGCCAGCATTTAGGAGGCTGAAGCAGACAGAACACAAATTCACACGTTCAAGGCCAGTCTGGGCTACATTGATAGCAAGATCTTGTCTCAAGATCTTTAAGAAAATATGTATTCATTCATTCATTGTGTGTGTGTGTGTGTGTGTGTGTGTGTGTGTTCACACACGTGACCAAACTACTTTCTAGGTATGTTGCACCAGCCCCACTCTTAGGAGAAGTTGAATGCAGAGAACTCCACTAAATGTCAATATTATGGTAATTTCTACAGTTAGCCACATTTTCTTATCTTCCTATTGTCTCTGTCCACTGATTCATTCTGCCCAGGAGTACCCATCAAATTTTACTGCTTTCATTTACATTTCAGTTTAAGGCATTATCTAGAAACAGCTAGGCAGTTATTTTAGAAGTTAAAGGAAGCCACAGACTACAATTCAGCACTTGCCTACCCGCCCTGAGAACATTAGTCTTCAGAGGCATAGTAGCCTGTCCCACTCTACTGACAACTGGCAGACCTGAGTGAGGGATACTTGATAATGGTGTGAATCCTGAGTCAGCGAAAAAGAATAGGAGTATACCACACTACCCTGCAATGCCAATATCTGCCTGCCCTTATGAAAATGAGTGTCCAAGGAATTGTCTCTTGATGCTGAGAGATAAAGTATGCTCGTGGCATGTTGGATGTAATGCCAAGCCAAATTACATGTTCTGCTGCTAATGAGTTCTGCCGTTCTATGTCATTGTCTCTTACACATTCTGTCTCCTTCACATTTATCTTCTTTATGAGTTTTATAACATGCAAAGATAACCACAAGCCTGATAGCATGACCACATTCTTTTGAATGCAAATATAACAAATATATAGACTTTTTAGTACGGAAAAATTGTTGTGCTTTTGTGCAGTCAACACAAAATTGTGATTGGATCTTGGGGGAAGGAGTATTTACACTCATGTGTCTGCTTATATACCTTGTTGAAGAAAGACATATCATAGTTATTTTCAGAGATAAACATGTTTAATTCCATTTCTATGCAGAGAAATTTACATCAGCATTACACTTAGAATTGTATTTTATCTTTCTATTGAATCTTCTGCATATCTTCACCTTTGTCTTCAGTTGGGGTGTTTTTATCTTATTCATATATTAGGTTATTATAAGAATGTCAGGGCAGAAGGCCAAATGGTGGTTAACATAGTTGTTTTGAAAAAATGCACAACTAATGGACTCTGTGTGCATCTAGAGACTGTGGAGAAGGAAGCAGTTAATAGATTAACTAGGAAATTGTGTTCAGGATCAAGCTACTAGTAATATACATTATATACATATAAATCTTAGCCTGCATGCCTACACTATATGCAAGAGGCCTAAAATTTTAAACTATTTACACAGAGCACAATATTCTTTACTTATCATCATTAATGCCTCTAAAGAAAATGTAAGAGCCCAGGTAAAACAAATGACTCAAGTTGACATGGGTACCCACCATGAGCTATGAGGAATGGTTTAATTATGGCTTAGTATGCTTGTGTAGGCAGGTGTATGTGTGTGACAGAGTCTGTGTGTGTGTGCTTGTGCACACTCATGTGTGTTATCTTTGGTTGAGTTACCTAAATTTATTTGAAACCCAGGGGCTGAAAGGTATAAGGACCACATGAGAGAAACTTGGATTTGAAAAACGGCTGCAAATTATAACTTTGCTTTAAATATATATATTTCTTGATTGTGTCTTGTTCTTATCAAGATTGTAGGATATAATTTCAGCACATATTTTCTTAGCTTTGCCATATACAAATTGTGACAGCTAGCTGGATTCCCAATAGCTGTCAAGAGTTGCAATCTGTCAAGTCTAGAAAACAACTGATCTTTAAGTGTTTGTGACTTCACCACAACTCTCTCCTTCTTTGCAGTCTTTCACTTGAGTATGCATAGGAACCAAGAAAATAACAGTACTCCCATGGCAAGTTAAAAGCCATGTCATTC